ACACGTACGAACCTGTCTGATGTTCTGTCGACGCGGTACGTCGTCTTCCAGAACATCAGACAGGTTCGTACGTGTGCGTACAATTAGCGTACTGTGACTAATGGTGTGATGTGTATTCACGAACGCTTGTGTATTTGGCAGAAAAACCTTACAAGTACTTGGCCGTGGCCATAGCAAGGCTATCATCCGCAGTGAACAGCATTAACGATATCAGAGATAAGCGGTCGTGCCACGCCGGGGCCGTTAACGACCCTGCAGGTTGGGACATGCCGTTGTCGCTGCTTGCCAAGAAAAAGATGATGACCGTGGCGGCATGTCACGACGACCTCAAGAACGCACACCAATACTTCAGCGGAAGCTGCGCGCCGGGATATTGGGCAAACGACGTGTATAAGCGTAAGTATTTGGATGTACAGTAGAACCGCTACGCATTGCATGAAGTGAACGGAAATTATGAACCGTTGTGACCGCCATAGACACATACGACCCCGGGTGCTCATCGGCGATCAATATGATATATAATATAGAAAAATACAAAATATCAACGATAGCTAAAAATAATAAAATATCCAGCCAAATGAGAAGGGAAAAAAACCTTGTTTATAAGTATACCCTCATTATACCATTACAAAAAGTATTGGCTGTGGCTACGGGTACGGCAGCCGTATCATAATGTCTCGAGGCTGGAGGTACGGCAGTCCATTCGCATACATACTTAACGAGACAAAGATGGAGGCGGGTGGCGCCAAATTTCGAAATAACGCCTTGGGAAATAAATTCACGATTTGAGAGTTTAGATGAGCTAGAACCCTAACCCTAACCCTAACCCTAACCTTAACCCTAACGCCAAAAAGGGACTTCAACGAACGACGGCTGCCGTACCTCCAGCCACTGTGAAAAGTATTACTTGTTAACTTATAGTGACAGGAACCTCAACAGTTTCTCTATCATCTTGCAGTTGTTTTTAATATTGGCGACATGTCTTACAGGGGGAAATTACTCAGACAAGCTGTGCTCGCTCTGCGCGAATACACAGCAATGCACTGAGAGCGACAGCAACCACGGAGCAGAAGGCGCCATCTCGTGTCTACGTAACAAGGGCGGTGACATCGCCTTCACCACCGATGCAGTTTTGGCTGGCATCCAGGATATCGGAGACAGCGACCAATTCCGCCTGGTCTGCACCGACGATACCTCTGGAGGCACCAACCAACCGGTACGTTGGATATTTGGAATTTCTTCGAATGTGTTTTTGACACGTAC